AGGAGTGAAGCCACTTTGCTATTTAAAGCCCTTATCCTCAATCTTGAAAACAATGCCTCCTAATAATAATGTACAGTGTACCTTGTAAATAAAGCAGCCTATTTTCTTTCCTTGCCACCAGGGACATTTCACAAGAGAGACAGTTGTATTTGCAGATTAATAATGGTGTATGTAGACAAGAGAATCCAAAACAGCTATGACTGCTATGACTCTCTTAAGAGTCTTATCTTTCACAACTTGTTTCTTTAAATTTTATTTTCCTTTAAACCTAGATTTACTGACGATACAACTATGGTGCAAATAGAACAATTTCTGGTTTCTAACATGACTGTGTGCTTTGCTTCCCAAAAAGTAAGGCATTCAATTCCCTGACAGTATGTGCTGCACTGTATCCTCTCAAGAACCACAATATAATTTCATAGGAGCAGTGCACAATGAAGATTAAAATTAATGGTAATATATGAAATGAATCATACTTTGAACTGCAGATGAAGGTATGAAACTGTGAAGATGTTAACAACTATGTTGGCACTTACATGAAAATACATTCTAATTCAATCATGGTCTGCATTAGCTATGCATTGAAAGACTCATGAAAATGTCTATTCATTCTCTGTTCATTTAAGTTAAAACCCACGTAATTTAAAATCAAAAATAAACTTTTGTACCTGCTTCAAAAAATACATGCATGCTGTTAAATTATTCACCAATTATGACGCTATGACTGCCCGGGGAATTGGGAAGCTTGGGTTTGTTATTGACTGACGCATGAAAATATAGAACCAGACTACGTAGATTATCTTTGCCTACTTGCAAATTCAACACTTGTTAACACTTTTCTATTCTGTTTATTAGTTCTTCTATAGTCTGTGAAAATTTTCATAAGAATGTTTGTATCACATTACATGTAAGCTTACTTTATACAGATGTCCTTTCTCAATTCCATTATTTTCTTTTAGTAATTCCCAGTACCAGTGACCAAACTCCTATTTTCCAGTACAAAACAAGGAAATTCTACTCCTTCAGACCCCCAAAGTCCTTACATGATTTTACATTATCATCTTCAACGTCATGGTCTCGTTGCTTGCTTAGTATTGAAAGGTTATGCCAAATAAATACACATGTTTAGTTATAATTTACTTTAAACGGTTAATGCTGGTTTCATTGCTCACTGAAATGTTAGTTACTGAGTACTTGAGACAGTCATTCGAACTCGTCATAAACAAGTTGGAATTAAGCTTAAAAAGTTAGAGAAAAGGCGAGCCAGGACAACTTACCTTGCCTTACTATCTGCTCTTTTCAGCGAGATCTTGAGTATCGAAGAGCCTTAGTAATAAGTGTAATACAGTCTTGGTCTGTGTTGTGAACATTCCAGTGTTAATGCTTGCGCTTCACACGATGTTTCTGTCTCCATTTCTGACTGAGTATCTCGTCCCGAAAGGGTTGTTGCACACTCGAGAAGTGATCGATTACTAAAGGCTGATAGTGCCATTATAAATTGTAACAACCTTAAGATGTCCTGTGATGCTATCAAGAAGCATAATATATGAACGATGTCCAAACTCTCAAAGAAGCAAGTTTGAAACCGTTGGATACTTTCAAAATGGACGCCAAATCAACGAACCTGATTAAGCATGTGCAAAGGAACAAGCCCGCTGACCAGGTGTCCGTTCACTCTGTTGTTTCCAGGCCCCTTTTTTTAACAAATTGTCCGTTCCCAAAACTGAAGTCCGCGGACTTAAAATAAAGAAGCGATAACGGATATTCAACAATGAAGCCAGTACTTCGTTGAATGTAAAATAGTCAGAGTAATTTGAAAATGCGTTCTTTCTCTTTAAGTAATGCGTTCTTTCTTTAAGTAAAATTGGAGTTATCTTTGATCAGTCCCTTTGTATGGTACCTCATGTCAATGCAGTCTATCAATCGTCCTTTTTCCATCTTCGTAACATCGGTTTCATACGCAAATATCTTACTTATGATGCTGCAAAGATCATTATTCATGCCTTCGTAGTTTCTAAACTTGATTATTGTAATTCTTTATTGTACGGCGTGGGTGTATACACCCAGCCGCAATCTTAGATCCTCTAGTAGAAATTTATTAGTTAAACCCTATTTTAATCTCAATTCGTATGGTAAACGAGCTTTTTCTGTTGCTGCTCCGGAACTTTGGAATAACTTACCTGAGGATATTAAATCTGAAAACTCAATTGATGATTTTAAACGCAAACTTAAAACATTTCTTTTTTATGCGAGCTTATGAATCGTGCGACGTTTTTATTTGTTATCTGATTTTTTATCTATTGTGTACATTTATCTATTTTGTAGTTAGCGTCCAGTTTTAATGTCAATTTCTTGTGATTATTTTTACTTTTTAGTTCTATCTAATTTTTGTAAACAGCGCCTTTAAATCTTGTAGAAAAGGTGCTATATAAATGGATTATTATTATTATTATTATTATTATTACTATTATTATTATTATTATTATTATTATTATTATTATTAACACACTCATCCGCCATTCCACCCGTGGTCGTGAAAACTAGGGGAGTGAACGTTCCCTGTTCGATCTCCATTACTCTTTCCGCATACTGCCTCTTCTTCTCGTTCTCATGCTTCTTGTAGATCTGCTTAGGAGTCAAGTCTCTGTAAGAGTCTGCATTAGGGTGAGACACTAGAACGTCGAAGAATGCAGACCGATAAGAGTTCATACATACGTATTGTCACTTTTCTTCTAAAACACCCATTGTCTGATCATGAGTAGCCAACACACGGCGGGGTTAAATATGCGTTGGCTTGTATTTAAATTGGTTTACCTATCGGTGAAGTGAAAAAAAAAAGCGAAAATGTCTGAGGTCATTCATAACTTAGCCCGCGGCCGCATTGCGACATGCTTCTTTTCTTCCTAGTGTCGTCCGCCATATGCATGGCAGAGGAAAATTGCCAAAAACGAGAGGTAAGGCCCAGTTTAAACGCCGATCCTTTCATGTACCGAATTTAACACCCATTTAGGTCGACCCAAGTAATATAAGTTCGAGGTTGATTCAGACTTTGAACTTGATTAGTCGAACTAGATTCATTTTCACGATGTTCAAGGTCTAGTGCTTTAAACAAGTAAAAATATATTTAGTAATTTGTTCATTAGTTTCGGCACATGAGAAGTTCGACGTTTGAACTGAACTTTTTTGTTTAACTCAAAACTGTATTTTTTTTAAAGGTGTTGGCTTAGGAAAGCCAAAAAAAATCGACTAGTTTGAAAACTAGCTACATGTCTCATTTACGTTTTACTTCAAAAAGCGATTTCCACGTCTCAACTTCCCAAAGCGAAGACTATAGCGAGATAAATAAATAGAATGGCACTTTCTGTTACTTTTCCCAGCTTACACATCAATGTCATTGATAGCAAAACTGCATAAAAAAGCGCTTAAGAATGTTGTGACTTTAAAATTTTGCCTCAATTTTGTTGTAACGCATGTGCTATTAATTATATACCGTGACATGGCTGTTCCGGCGTGGTGATTAAACTCTGAGAAGTGTGAATGCATAATCACAGCATACTTTTCCTTTTCTTGGTATTTAGAGANCATACGTATTGTCACTTTTCTTCTAAAACACCCATTGTCTGATCATGAGTAGCCAACACACGGCGGGGTTAAATATGCGTTGGCTTGTATTTAAATTGGTTTACCTATCGGTGAAGTGAAAAAAAAAAGCGAAAATGTCTGAGGTCATTCATAACTTAGCCCGCGGCCGCATTGCGACATGCTTCTTTTCTTCCTAGTGTCGTCCGCCATATGCATGGCAGAGGAAAATTGCCAAAAACGAGAGGTAAGGCCCAGTTTAAACGCCGATCCTTTCATGTACCGAATTTAACACCCATTTAGGTCGACCCAAGTAATATAAGTTCGAGGTTGATTCAGACTTTGAACTTGATTAGTCGAACTAGATTCATTTTCACGATGTTCAAGGTCTAGTGCTTTAAACAAGTAAAAATATATTTAGTAATTTGTTCATTAGTTTCGGCACATGAGAAGTTCGACGTTTGAACTGAACTTTTTTGTTTAACTCAAAACTGTATTTTTTTTAAAGGTGTTGGCTTAGGAAAGCCAAAAAAAATCGACTAGTTTGAAAACTAGCTACATGTCTCATTTACGTTTTACTTCAAAAAGCGATTTCCACGTCTCAACTTCCCAAAGCGAAGACTATAGCGAGATAAATAAATAGAATGGCACTTTCTGTTACTTTTCCCAGCTTACACATCAATGTCATTGATAGCAAAACTGCATAAAAAAGCGCTTAAGAATGTTGTGACTTTAAAATTTTGCCTCAATTTTGTTGTAACGCATGTGCTATTAATTATATACCGTGACATGGCTGTTCCGGCGTGGTGATTAAACTCTGAGAAGTGTGAATGCATAATCACAGCATACTTTTCCTTTTCTTGGTATTTAGAGATATTATACTTCCGAATAAAGCTGCCAAACCTCCATTTTCACCCCTGTATCTGTAACGCAATGACATTTGATATGCAGTGGCTGTAGTAAGCAATCCCCCGCCTAGTCCCAGTCCGCGTGTTTACGTATAAGTAATTCGACTTTCGCGCGGGTTATGCAAATCGTAAAATATCTTGCTCGAGTTCGCTAGGTGTTACAACTACGTTACGTTCTTTATCTTACTTCGTTCGCCGTTTTTCCAAATCGTCAGGTAATGTCCTCTGTCTTCGTTTATCTCGTATTTCCTATGTTACCTGTATTTCCTACGTTATTTCCATTGTTGTAATTAGTCGTTCTGCTCTTAATGTATTATGTTTGTTACTTTATCCTAGAAACCACTGGCAACATCATGTAAATAAGGTTAAGAGTTCGAGTTGTTCCAGTTGAATTAAAACTCTTTTACGACTTATATTATTGCTGGTGCGTTGGCTACAGATTCTGACGTTAGTGGAATTATGTCAATGGAAAATTCGTCGAACGGACGAGGGGAAGCCGTAAGGCGTGAAAGAATGCTGTCCCTGAAGAGAAGTCGAGCTGGTCACCTTGGTTATTTAAACAGATTGTACAAAGACGTCGAGTTATTAATGCAAAACGCGAATAATTATCATGTGGCTTGTAAGAAGAAAAAAGATGTTGAAATCGCGTTTGCGAGATGTTTTCAAGCCTACGACGAATATTATCAATTCACCATCGACCCCGAAGTCAAATCAGATGCGCTTAATGCTTTTCACAGCATAGTGACAGGGAAAAAGGAATTCGACGAGCGTTTTGAAGAATGGTCGCGATCCGTTCAACGTACCGTGGATAACACTTCAGTGGTTCCTCGCCAAGATTATGGTGATACTGCCGAATCACAGATTGTCACACGTTCAGTAGTCACCTCAAGTAGCAGAAATTCGAAGAGCCCCAAGTCCAGCTCACGTGCAAGTGATCGATCAAAAAAGGCTTAAGCCGAGCTGCTTCGTCGTGAAGTTGAGTTAAAGAATCTGTTAAAGCGCCAGGAGATGGAACGTCAAATGGAACGTCAAATTGCCGAGATGAAAATTCAAGAAGATGAATTGAAACGCCGGATTGCTTTATTGACCGCAGAAGGGGAAATAGAGAAAGCTAAGGCCGTTGATGAGCTTTATGAAAATTCGGAATATTCAAAACGTGGTATCGAGGCAGAGTAGAAACCGGTTTACAAAGACGAAACACGCGATTCCTTACCTCCTGCGAAAGACCTCCAGGTTGGACCGAACTTTAAGAGTGGCGACTTCAAGCAAGTTGGGAGAAACTATTCTAAATCAGTGCTGAATCCAGGTGCTCAACTTTGGGACCTAGGACCCCCTCAGAACACTATCGGCGCTGGAGATCCCACTGGTTCCCAACAGTTGCAAGAAATATTAACAAAGCAACAAGAAGCTTTGCAACTTATGGCGTACACAATTCGACAAGGATTTGAAATGCCGAAAAGAGAGCTTTTGACGTTTGATGGTAACCCGCTTAACTACTGGTTGTTCATAAATAACTTCGAGGTCAACATCGCTAAGAGGGTACCGGACCCCGAGACGAGGCTAACTTACCTTATTCAACACTGTACTGGGAAGGCTAGGGAAGCCATTAAAAACTGTGCCATAATGTCCGATCCAGAGCAAGGCTACAGGAAAGCCCAAGAAATCTTGTACCATAGATTTGGACAGAAACACATCATTGCGCACGCGCACATCACGAAGATTGTGGAAGGTCCGCAGATCAAGAATACTGACTCCACTGGTTTATTAGACCTGTCCGTTGAAATGCAGAATTGTGCGCTGACTCTCGTACAAATGGGCTACGAGGCAGATGTTAACAGCTCGGACAATCTCGTTAAGGTGGTGAAGCGTCTCCCTGTTCATCTGCAGTCTAAATGGGCGGACAGAGCCGGTTCATTAACCTTAGCTGGAACGGAACCTACCTTCATGGATTTAGCTGGTTTTGTTGAAGAGAAAGCTTTGCTGGCAAACACTATGTACGGACGAATAGTTGGATCGACACCAGACAAAGAACGGAGCTCTAAGCCACCACCCAAAATAAAGTCACCGTCCTCGAAGGGAAACACCTTCGCGACGCAGTCCGAAGACCTTCCTCAAGTAAACACACCTCCTATCGTAACTTGTCCTTTGTGTTCTGGTCAACATAGACTGTGGAAATGCGAGCTCATGAAAGCAAAGAGCCCAGAAGAAAGAAAAAGCTTCGTTCGACAAGCAAGACTATGCGACAACTGTTTTGGAAGCGGTCACATGGCCACAGATTGCAGAAGTAAAATGATGTGTCAAGTGAATGGATGTGGATGGAAACACCACACTATGTTGCACGTTAAGAAGAAGAGCAACAATAATAGCACCCCTCCTAACCATGCTGCAGTCACCTCGGAAGAGACTGGAGCGAGTACCATCAGTGGAACCGGGGAGACTGGAACGGGCGCCATCAGCGGGGCCGGGGATGCTGGTCGGTGTGGTGCTACAGACTCTGGCAAGAAGAATGTTTGTTTAAGAATCGTTCCGGTTGTCGTGAAAGGAATGGGTCAGCGCAACACAATTGTGGCAAACGCGCTACTGGATCCTGGTTCGGACGTTACGTTATGTGATGTGAGTCTAATGGAGAAACTTCAAGTAGTTGGCCGTCCTAAGGAATTCTCACTAGCGACCGTTAATGGTGCATCTGACACTCGAAAGGGATTCGAGTTGTCTTTGTCTGTTCGAGGATTACAAATGAAAGAAGAAGTCGTGTTAGATAGAGTTTGGACAGTGGATACGTTGTGTTTACCTCAAGGTAGTCCACCTACTAAGGAAGATACTGCTAAGTGGCCTCATCTGAAAGGAATAGACTTTCCGAGAGCGCAATCTGATAAAGTGTCTGTGCTTATTGGTAGCGATGTTCCTGAAGCTCATTGGGTATGCGATCAGAGGCGTGGCAGGCGTGGTCAACCTTATGCTGTGTGTACCCCACTCGGTTGGACCCTGATGGGACCACTGAATTCGTGTGATAGAGATTGTTTCAGTGTGAACTTTGTTCGCCATGACGACGAAACGCTTCATCGGCAAATGGAGAGCATGTTTAGGAGTGACTTTAACGAGCCTATGATCTCCTCAAAGGCTGCAATGTCAGTTGAAGATCAAAGAGCACTGTCGCAAATGGAAACTTCCGTGAAGCTCGTGAATGGCCACTATCAGTTGGGGTTGCCATGGAGGCACAAGTCAGTAAACCTCCCGAACAATCGTGAATTTGCGTTCGGAAGATTGCGCTACTTAAAGAAAAGATTCCAGCGCGACCCTCACCTCTTCGAGAAGTACAGAGACACTATTAACGGTTATGTATCCAGCGGCTACGCAAGACGAGCTCCTTGTAGCGAACAGGAAAATGTGAAGGATTCACCAGTCTGGTACTTACCCCACCATCCAGTTTTCCATCCTCAGAAACCAGGGAAAGTGAGAGTCGTGTTTGACTGCGCGGCCAAGTTTAAAGGCACCTCCTTGAATGATCAGCTTCTTCAAGGTCCAGACCTAACGAATGGACTTTTGGGCGTTATCATACGTTTTCGCCAAGAACCCGTTGCCATGGTTGCGGATGTGGAAGGCATGTTTCATCAGGTGCGGGTAGCTCCCGATGACTGTAATGCGTTAAGATTCCTGTGGTGGCCCAATGATGATCTCTCCAAAGAGCCAGTTGATTATCAGATGTTAGTACACTTGTTCGGAGCCACGTCGTCTCCAAGTTGCGCAAGTTTTTGTCCAAAGAAAACAGCCTCGGATAATCAGGGCGACTTTGATGTGGAAACCATTACCACTGTTGACCGGAACTTCTATGTAGACGACTGTCTGAAGTCTGTCCCTGCGACTGACAAGGCGGCACGTTTGTCTGGCCAGTTACGAGAATTGCTGTCAAGAGGAGGGTTTCGGCTAACCAAATGGATTAGTAATGGCAGGAACGTAATCGCCACCGTTCCAGTAACAGAGAGAGCGCCCTCAGTAGTAAACTTGGATTTGGAAGATATCCCTGTAGAACCCACATTGGGAGTGCAGTGGGCCGACGACTTCAACTTTCGCATCATGGATGAAGGAAAGGCCCTCACACTCAGAGGAATCTTGTCTGTTGTTAGCTCCATGTACGACCCTCTCGGGTTCGTCGCGCCCATCATTCTGCCAGCCAAGAGTCTGTTGCAGAGCCTATGTAAGCAGAAGTATGGCTGGGACGAAGAGATTTCCCAAGCAGATTCCACTGTATGGCATTACGGAGACTACGGACTACGAACTACGGCTGGACGAGCGTTGTCGTTTGTTTGTAGCACTGGGTTGAGTCGTGCAAATATAGAACGTTAAGATTGCACTACAGACGGTAGACTACGAGAGAAGAGGCGGAGCGGGAAACAACAAGCAAAGATTTTCTTGTTTTCATCATAGTTCACAAAAATGCAAGTCAGTTTTTCATGTGATCTTATCTTTAGAACAATGAACAAATTCTCCCATACTTGAAGGAAGCAATTACGTACGAGTCGATTCGCGTATAAGTTGATTCGAGCTCGGGTAAAATTGATAAACAAAGTTTTGGTTGCACAGGTTTTATTTTTTTCGCCCATGAATACTTATGTATAATATTAAAGAAATAGACAGAAATAGTAATAGCTCATTCATTAGATTTAGAAGATGGACTTCTCCGACTACTGATCTGATGTAGTTTGAAGTATTGAAATGCCGAGTTTCGATTGTCTCGAAGATGTTTACATCATTTACATTCGGCAAATGCGACTACAAAAACTCGCATAAATAAAGGTCACACAAGTAGAAAGACACACTAATCAGTTCGAACAAACATTGAAACTTTTCAAGTCCGAAGAGAAAGTAAATCACCTGCATGATTTCTCTTCTCCTCGGCCATCAATCTGAATTCTCCGTATAAACAGCTAAGCTCCTTTAAATATGAGCTTAATAGCTAAATAAAAATGTAGTCACAACGGTGGATTAAAAGCGTAAATCTGAGCAGAAATTAGGCACAACTTACATAATTCGCTTCCCCCTCACAGGTGAATTGAAAACTTTCTTACGAAAAGACGAGATTCTTGAATTACCGAGACGGCAAAATACGAGCAAAATGTTCTCCGTGGTCCCGACTACGCGAAACAGCTCAACAACTCACCGTAGCCGCAGGACTACGCGGGAAAAATAAACAGTCACGTGGTTTTGATCATGCGCAGTAGCATGTCTAACCGTAGTCGTAGTCCGTAGTCGTGGTATCTTAAACTCCCTATTGGCCTGACCAACAGTCCCAGTTGCCGGAATTTCCTCAAGATGACAGTGAATGCAGAAAATGCCCTGGTCGAACAAACGTGATCGTTAGCGGTAAAATGTTGGAACCGCTGTTGTCCCGCTGTTCATCCTGGGACAGTCTTCGAAAGGCCATAGCCTGGTTGGTACGTTTCAAGAAGTATTTGGTTGGCCTCCTTAACAACGATCCAGACAGCATTCCCAAGGGGCCCTTGACTGTCAGGGAAGTTGTTGCTGCAGAGAGTGTGATCATTAAAGCTGTTCAGCACGATGCGTTTCCAGCGGAGCTAGCTGCGGTAGGCCAAGAAGCGTCGGAGAACCAGAAGAAGTGCGTTCCACGATCTAGTTCAATACGCAACTTGAACCCTTTTGTTGCCGAGGGAATATTAAGAGTAGGAGGTCGCCTCGAGAATGCTCCTGTTTCATTCCAAACGAAGCACCCGGTTATTCCTCCCAGTAAACATCAAGTGACAAATTTGATCATCCAGAATTGTCATCGCCAACAAGGGCACTGTGGTCCTTCTCACGTTCTGGCCTTCAACCGAGAGAGATTCTGGATTGTACGTGGCCTCTCAGCAGTACGCAGGGTTTTGGCGAGTTGCATGAACTGTCGTAAGCAAAATGCTCGTCCTGGTGAACAGATTATGGCCCCACTCCCGTCAGCACGAGTCGCTCCGACAGATCCACCATTTACCCATGTGGGTGTGGACTATTTCGGTCCCCTCTTTGTCAAGCAAGGACGCAGTCAAGTGAAACGTTACGGATGTTTGTTTACATGCCTTACCATGAGGGCGGTGCACATTGAGGTCGCGCACACATTGGAAGCAGACTCCTTTATCTGTGCATATCAGCGTTTTGTTAGTCGCAGAGGGAAGCCCAAGGAAATACAC